CGGGCAGAGGGTGCAGCCGAACCCCGGCGGACTCCCTCCGCCAGTAAATGAAGTATTCCCCCCGCGCCCACATGGAGCAGACTAAGGGGGGAGGCGGGTCGGCAGGGCCGGCACCGTGGGCCGCGCGCCCTGTCCCTGAGGGGACTCCCCTCGCCCTGAGGTAATCCTCGCGCATCTCCGTATGGCCCGAAACGGGGAGAGACTGCAAAACACTCCTTTTGTCTTCCCGCGACAACGTTAGTGTCAGAGGCGGTATTCCCCCCGCGCCCACATGGAGCAGACTAAGGGGGGAGGCGGGTCGGCAGGGCCGGCACCGTGGGCCGCGCGCCCTGTCCCTGAGGGGACTCCCCTCGCCCTGAGGTAATCCTCGCGCATCTCCGTATGGCCCGAAACGGGGAGAGACTGCAAAACACTCCTTTTGTCTTCCCGCGACAACGTTAGTGTCAGAGGCGTCAGGGTGCCATTGGCCAACGTAAAAGGTAGCGGGTAAGAAAGTCACCCAATATACACAGACAAAAATTGGTCTGCGAAACCTAAGGAAACCAGATAAGAACAGCAAAACATCTCTTGCAAGTAAATGTCTGTTTTTGGAGGTCCTAAATTTTCCTTTAATGAACTTGTCCTATGAACTTGGCCAGTGAAGTTCAGTCTCCAGGAGGAAATCTGTACTTGTTACCTTATCCCTTCCAGAACAGGCCATGGTTGCATTTACTTTGGCTGTGGGAGGGGGGCAACATTCACCACTGCTGACTTAAAAGCTAAACTAACTAAACCAAATTAAAGCAGCACATGGTGCTAAATTCTCTGAGCATCTCCACCAACAGAGACCACTGTTTTAGAAAACAGAGATTAAGGACGCACTGTGCTGGGAGATGGAAGCACAGGAACAGGAGAACAAGTGTGGTGCTCTTGCATCCAACTTCTTTCCTACTCAGGAAAGAAACCTTGCTAAAGCGTGAAACCACACCAAGTCACATCCCCTTCACAGATCCCAGAACTGCGACTTGCCAAGGGAGTTGTGGCTCAGGCATGTATTTGATCTCATTGACCTAGGACTCCAACAAAAGGAAGAGGGACGTAGCACCAGTTTAGTGAAAAGAAACGTAAGCTTCAGTAACGCTGGATAATCATGACTTCACATGCAAATGGCTGTAATCCATTTTTACCAGAGTGTAAATTGGCCTCTTCAGGTTTTAAGAAGTAGCATACTTTTCCTCTAGCATACAAGATAAAATGCCATATAAAGTGAACAGGATGAAAAAAAGCCCACAAACTTGCACATCCCTACATCTGCAGAGTAGTGACACAAACACACCCTTCCCTACCCTGGGTCTTATGATACTGACTCACTCTGTGCCTATCAAGCCTGTTGCATTTCTTTACCATGCCATGTGATCTCTTACTACTCAGTCCCTCCTTCAGAGCGCCTAGCAGGAACATTTTGTCACCCCAATGAAAAACTGGTCAACGTCATCTTCTTCACTATTACTTTGTTTTCTGCATGGCATGCACATGCTAAAATCGCATCAGTAGCACCACAGCTACTTCTCACAAATGAACAAATACACACAGAATTAATCAGGCATAGGAACTCTAAAAAACTCTCTCTATATTTGAATTCCTGTCAGAAATTTATTTTTTCTGCAAGTAGAAGATCATCTCAATTAGGAACACCTTGTTGAAGATATTTGAAGTCAGCAGCCAAATTTCTGAAACAAAATTCAGCTTCTACGCACCGTTCAAGTCACTAAAAACTTACGCAGATCTCAGACCTAAGAATAGACATATTTTCTCCTCTCCTGCTCACCAAGTCTTCAGAGGAGTTGGTACGGTTTGTTTTAAAATTACAATACCCATGTTGAAAGAATGGATATAAATTTGAATTTTCTTCCCTGTCTACATAATTAAAGGTAGCATGCTTGCAGGGTTTCTGGTTTCATGCATTCTAGCAGGCTAGCTTGCAAAGCTTCCCTGACAAGTCATGGAGCCCCTAACTCTTCAGGAGCAAACCCAGGAATCAGGAGAGGCAAAGATCTCCTTAGTAGAACCAACACATCTGACTGAACTTGCTGTCAGGGGAGAGGCCATGTTGCTGCAACTCCCTTTCACACAACCCCTTCACTCCTCACCCACATCTCATCTACTGCTTTTAGCCACCTCTTTCGCAATCACAATTGCAGCAGTAGTTGTGCATGTGCCATAACCCACATGATACAGTGGGAACTGGGCTCTGATACAAGTTCTCCGTTAGACTGCAAACAAGGAAGTCACAGCACACACCTGCGGGATGCTAGGCAGCAGATGCTGCCTTCCCAGGATACAGGAACTCTGCCTAACAAGCAGAAAGAACAAGTAAACAGCTAACTGAGGGAGCAACAAACCCCCTGTGGAATACAGGCCAACTTCAAATACTGATAGGAGTTCCTACAGGGATGGAAGGGTAGAAGGCAGAGACCACTGTAGTTGTAGGCTGAAAGCGCCACACTGCTACTCGATATATTTTAGTCTTTAAAGTACTAAACTATAAATGCAATTAGAGAAACAGTTTAGATATTTCACTTTTGTTCAGAAATTTACAGTTTGCCCTATCTATATTAGCTTTTCAAAAGACAGACTTCCGCTCTATTGTCAAGCTTAACAAGATAAATAGAGCTATTGGGAACAGCTGCATTATAAAATACCATGGAATAAAGAGTTAAAATAAAGTGAGGGAGCTTTGTGAAGATGTTAACACTTTCTCACGTGAGAGAACAGGTAGGAAGAAAGTGGAAGGACACAATATAAACCTTTCTACTCTTTGCCTAGCTTTTATTAAATAGTACATACAAATTTCTTTTGTGCTTCCAGTAGAGAACATTTTTCCCTATTTGTCTCAAAAAAAACCTAAACAACCCAAAACAATAGGACTGAAAAAAAACCCAAAACAAAAAAAAAAAAATTAAATAGCAAGTTTTGTGTAGCTTTATTTCACAAAAATTCCTCTCCCCAAAAGGACATGGAGGTAACTTTTTTTCATCTGTATCAATTAAGCACAGCAAATGAGAAGTGTTTTCTAATTAAAGATTTTACCTGTGGTCTAAAGGGGATGGCAAAAGAGCTCCAGCAACTCTCGCAGAAGCAGACTGAGGTGTTACAGCCACAGCTTTTTATCTCTGCTCATCCATAGAGGATTTGCTGCCCCACAGCACAGCTAGCAGAAGATACTATGCACGTGTGCCTCAGCTACTGTACTGTAAAGTGCCATGTTTCAGCGTAAATTGCTGATAAAGATGAACTAGAGCTAAGCTACCAGACCTTACAGTGGAATGAATGAAGTACAGGCACATGTTCACTTCTGCTGACATAGCTATGAGTGAAGAACCAGAAAAGCCGACTTCCTATGCCATTCCAGCAGCAGCCACATCAGCTCTCTAGAAGTCCAGCTGTGCTGCTGCTTGCCTGGTAATTATCAGTTGTAAAGGTTATGAACCCAAATTATAGCTTTTGTCATACAGTCCACAAAGGGTTTCCATGTGTAAGTTATTGCAAGTGAAGCCTCTACAGCCAAGCATAGAATAGAATAAAAACAGGACACTGTCCAAAAACTCTTTTTCAAAGGAGAAACAAAAAGCAATTATATAGAATAGAAATCTGCAACTTTAACTGAAACACAGTGATCTCAAGAGTACCTCTTGGCCACAGGGACCAACTAGGACAGGAAAGCCCATCATCAAATCACTTACATGGGAGGCAATTCTAAACGGACACTGGGAACAGAACTATCCCAGCACTGTGGACTCCAATTAAAGCCTCTTTCAAGTAAGGTAAGCAGTGCTTGCACCCGCTAGAAAGCAATGCCATCTTCTCCTAGAAAAGTGCCGACTTCTCAGTGGGAGATGTTACGTATTCAAGGAGACGAGTCCTGCTGAAACCTCTAGTTGGTATCTGCTTGACATGAGTAGTCAAGCACTTGTGGAGCACTGCAGGAGTACATTTGGTGATGTTTGTTTTGTAGTTTGGGGTGTTTATTTGGTTTTTTTGTGTTTTGTTTGTGGGGTTTTTTTTAATTGAATCATGCAAGTCATGGAAGGTAGGGGCAAATCATTTTTCCAGGCATCCACCACATTGCCGGCAATGAGATGTGCCACAACAGCAAGTGTTAGCTCTGTGCAGCTGTTACCTATAGGTCAATGGCATTTAAAATAGAAAATCTTTCTTACACAGTGTTATGAATAAAATTGCACTTGATTTTGTTAAAAACTCATATCACTGTAACTTTTCCAAATATTTCCTTTCTGGCATCTTAATTTTCTTCATTAACAGGACCTTCTCTCTAAAAACCTCTCATTTATGTTGGACACACAACATACAACAGCAGTAAGCCATTATCTACCAGAAAAAGGGCCTGTTGCTTCTTCAGTGCTTATTTCTATCTGTCCCCACCCTCCCCCCAAAAAGGTACAGGCAGTTCACCTCTAAGTGTCAATTGTAACATTGAAATATAAACTCCTCAAGCAGACATTAGGAATTTTAGTTTCACAGATTAAATATTTGAAAAGTTACAGAAGGTGCTGGAATAGTACACATTTCAATTGCTTAAAAATCCAAACTTGCAGCAACTTTGTAAATCCAAATTTCCAAAAGGTTTGTAATGTCCTTGTGAACTTCTTCCACAGCAAGACGCCCTCATGACAATAAAGCATCAAACTTCCAAGGCTGAGATCAAGAAACAAGTCAGCAGGATGCACTTGCTCCACCAAGCAACTTTAAGAGAGGCGTCTCCACTTCCAATAGCAAAAAGCTACTCCTTCATTCCATTTTGGATCTTTCGAAGTGTGTAATCATTCTTTCCTGGAAAATAAAACACCCAACATTGTCATTTCCCCCAGCAGGTTTACATTATTCAGAAATAAGGTGGTATGCTTTGCATGTTCACAACAAATGCACACTTGTATGCATTTTAAGTCAGGAGTCCAACTCACACAGCAAATATACCACTTTTTAGAATACACATTTAGAATATATGTTTGTATTCTAAGAATTTGTATCATGGTTGTCCCTGCTACCCTTCCCCCACTTGTAGTATTTTACTGCTACACTGGCAAGATCAGACAGTTCAGTTCTAATAACCCAAGTCCTTAACAGCTGACTCATGACTCCTTTGGCATGTCAGAAGACTAATTTGAACTGAAGATT